GGGAGGGGCAAAGCAGACAAGATGAGGGTGACGTGTCATTCATGCATTCATTCAACCAGCACTTACTGAGTGACTGCCTCGAGCCAGAGCTCCTCGTTCTGGACACAGGCAGGGCCAGCCACGTGATCTGCGGTGTTCTGTGCAAAAGGAAAACAGGGGCCCCTTTTCCAAAAGGTATCAAGAGTTGGAAGATGGCGACCCCAGAGCATTAAAGCAAGTGGGGGCCTGGAGAGATTGTGCAGGGTGCCCTGCAGGGAGACTGTCAAACCGGGGAGCCCCAGCCCCATCCTGATCTGGCCCCCACCCCTTATCTGGAATTCTGAAATTAACAAAAGTTCTAAAAATCCAAAGTTCTTTTGTAAGATGGTGGCAAACTCATTTGGAGGCAAAACCTGACCCCAACCAACAGGAAGCTATTTATAGCTTTATTTATTCCCCTTGATGCGAACATTTGTACATTTCATTGCAGTGCTATTAATGTGTTTGACTTCGGGGGCTGCCCGGGCCCTGCTGGGGTGTTACCTAAAATATACCGTATGCACCATATTACTCTTCTAAAGGGACAACTCTGAGTCCCCGAACACCTCTGGCCCGGGGTTTAGGAGAAGGGATTTGGAATCACACAAGACGGTCATCTATGCCCTGTACGGAGCAATTGCCATGCGCTCCATTTTTTTTTTTAGTGTGATTGACACATGACGTGTTAGTTTCAGGTGTACAGCGTAATGATTAGATATTTGTATATTCCATTTTTTTCTGCACCATCCAAAGAAGATGAGGGTCTGACAATGACCCCAGTTCCTGGCCTGCCCGTTCCTTGCGTGTTTGGTAGCTGCTCTGTGCTAGGAAGGGGGCTCGCTGATCTGATGCCCAAGAGGGCTTGGGTGGGTATCATTCTCAAGGTCCACTGGGATATTTTATTTCATAGTGAAGGGGTTGGGGAGAAGATGTGAGGTCAAGCAACAGAGCGGTTTTCTTTTCTTTTCTTTTCTTTTTTGGCGCGGTTTTCTTGAAAAGAAAATAGTTTTGATTTTGCATGTCATATATGCCCATCATCATCAAAAAAAAATTAATAGAAAAGAAGAAAGTAACCATAATCTGAAACTTACCCTCTCCACAGTAACTACTGTGGACATTTCTGTGACTACCCTTCCTTCCAGATTTTTCTAGATAGATCTTTTTTTTTTTTTCCCCAGAGATGGGCTTCACCACCCAGTGTTTTGCAACCTGCACTTTTTCCCATCACTGAACAATATGTTGTAGCCATCTTCCCACACTTCCGTCCTTGTGTTACAGGGAGACGGGGAAATCCGTGTAAACACATAACCAGCTCAAACAATCCCTTTGTTGGCCGTTATCTGATTACAGCTTTTCACTGTGTAGATCCCCGAGACGGCATCCGTGCGCACACACCGGCCTATGCCCTTAGGTCACGTCCATAGATTTGGAACCCCCAGGTCTACGTGGGGTGGGTACCTCCATCGCACTGGAGATGCTGCCAGATTGCCGATGCCATATTCCCTGCCCTGGGCCCATCTCTCCCAAAGTGCCATTCGCTGATCATTCAAAGAGTGGCCCATCCAGGCTGGGCAAAGGGTCCTGCCAGAGGAGCCCCTCGCTCTGCAGCTGCAGGAGAGGCAGGAAGCCGGCAAGGGCGCCACGTCAGCTCTACCTTGACGGCCCTGTGGCCGCCTCTGTGTGTCTGTCTCTCCCTCTGCCTCCGCTGGTTCACAGTCTACCTTCCCGGTCTCCATGAGGCCCCTCGGTTCTCTCTTCTCAGGCGGGGATAAAGCCTGGACCCCAGGCCCCATCACACCCTAATCACTTGCGTTTTCTCCTGATTTGCACGTCCTTAAGGCACCTTGATTAATACCCCTTCCTAGGATCTTCTGCGATCCGACCACGAGGGAGCTGATTGCAAAGTGGCCTCAACTTCTTTAAAAATAAGATAAATCACCCCTAATGCAAGTGGAGCCCATGCTTCTCTGAACAGTAAGAGAGCTGGAGGCGTCTCCCAGGAGCCTTGTGAGCATGGCAACATTGGAAATTTCTGGACAGAATCAGTCCATTTCTCTAACTGGTAGTCTAGAGCCTGTTATCAGCACAGACATGAACTCTGATGGTAGCTATTGGGAGCGGACATCACCTTCCCCATCACCGAAAGGAAACTGGAGTTCAGAGAGGGCAAGCTATGTGTTCAAGGTCACCCAGCCAGGCAATTTTTGGCTCAGTCGAGATTTGAACTCAGCACTGTCTGATGCCAGCTAGACACTTACCTGACACTCTTCACTGCCTTGTTAAACGCAGGCTGGGCCTGGAGCTGGGGCTGCGGGGAAGATGAGACTGGATGTCCTTGCAGTGGATGAAGCCCGGCCGCAGACCTAGGAAGAGAACCACATGCCCCTCTGCTATCCCCCAGCTGTGTGTTTTCATGTCTGGGGGTTGGCACAGGGGGTGCTGGGTCTTCATGGCTGTTACAGCAAGACCTCTTGGGACCGTGGTCATGACGCACAGTTGCGCCCGTGCATTTCCCGCGCGTGGTCTAATTCTCACATGCCCTCCAGTCTACACTATTAAGAGAGTGTGCCCCACATGCAGCCCAGGAATTCTGGTTGCTCTCTGTTGCTTGGAAACGCTCTTCGGGGGTCTGTGTGGGGCAGGATGGTCCCCAGGGTGGCAGGGAGCAGAGATCTACGGGGCTAAACTCTCTGCCCTGCCATCCCCTTGGAGGGTCTCCCTTCCCTGTCTGCTGCAGCTCTTCCTGCTTCTCATTAGGGCCGAGCTGTGGGAGCTGCAGGGTTTCGAACGCTGTGAGTGGAGCACACTGTTCGCCTTTCATCTCCCTGGTTGAGCCATTTCCCAGCCCACTGCTTCTGCCACCGCTCTTTCCTGGCTCCTCCCTCTCTCTCGACAGGTGGGTTGTCAGGGTCTCCCAGACCATTTGCAGGGCCCTAGGGGGGCCTGGACTCTCCCATGAGTTCCTGTTATCCCTGGACATCTCAAGGTTTGCTGAGCTGGACCTCCAGCTGAGTGTGGCTGTCCCCAGCAGGGACCTGCCAGGTCACTGGGCCTTGGAGCAGGTGTGCCCACATGGTCCACTGGCCCGAGCCCGGAACACGCCCTCACTGGCCTCTGGAACACGGTGTGCTGGGGACTCCACCTTCCTGGGGAGCTGTAACAACTGTTCCCACTCCACAGGGGACGCCTCCAGGGAGTGGCGAGGGGGCCATGGGAGGCACAAAGCAGCTAGGAACGTTCTCCCTGTGCCAGGCCTTGGGGCCCAAAGTGCAGGCATCTGGAACAGTGGCCCCTGGGCATCCAGCACCCCCCCAACTGCTGCTGGCCCCTCGCAAGGGCAGCTGCCCACCCCTCCTGCATTATTTCTCCCAGCTGGAACAAATGGAGGGAATTCCCTGGTGGTCCATTGGTTAAGACTCCGCGCTCCCACGGCAGGGGCCGTGGGTTCGATCCCTGGTCGGGGAATTAAGACCCCACATGCAAGTCACTTCCCCTTCCTGAGCCTCAGCTTGTCTCCATCTGTAAAATGGGTATGTGTACAGTGAGGATTCCATGAGCTATGCATACCAAGTGCAGAACTGAGCCCTGGGAGCCGGAGCAGCTTCTCCCCACCCCCATCTCCTGCTTGGGGCTTCTCCGTGGAGGCACCAGCTCCAGGGTGTGTGGAGGGAGCAGGGTGAGGGCTCCCCCAGGGAGGCCTTGCTTCCCAGCCAGTTGTTAGCACCCCATGAATGACCCCCTAGGGAGTGCAGCCCCCTGTTGCTGGCCCCTGGGGACACCTGCCTTCACCCATCCGTCCACAGTGTCCCGACGGCAGAGTGAGCCGGGAGAGTCCCTCCGGGCGTTGTCTCTGAGCAGGGGTGGCCCTCACAGAATCAGGGGAGGGTTCTCTGTTTTTCTCTTTTACCCCGTCCCCACCCCTCCCCAGACCCGCCAGATTGTCCACCCAGACTGTCCCGCTTTCCATGTGGGTGACTCCCTGACCCGGAGCCTCAGCTCTCAGACCCACAGAAGGGGGGCTGGCCCAGCAGCCTCCTCACTGTTGAGGTCCCAGGGGGTGGTGGGGCCGCCCTGCCCTGCGCCCCACAAGGCCTGTCTTGTGCAAGCCTCTCCTCTTCCAGAATCCAAACCTGGGGGGCTGGGGGGGCTGGCAGCAGTGAGGCAGAACCTGAGCGGCCGGGGGGGCGACAGGCAGTTGAGAGACGCTGGGCGGGGGGCGGGCAGTAAGCAGTTAATCAGAAGGGCCACTTGGCTTGTGGCTGCATCGAAGCTGTCCCCCTCACGAGGCCACCCCAAGGCAGCCCCTGCAAACCGTGGACCCGGAGGAGGCCTCTCTCCTCCTGGCCCATCCCCCCACTCTCCACAAGCCTCCTCCTTCCCCCCTTCCTCTCATCCCCCCAACTTCGCAGGCTTCCTAGGCTTTGGTTAGAGAACAGGCAGAGACCCACCCAGGCTAGGTGTGTGCATGCGTGTATTGTGCTGTGCGCACGTGTGCACACGCGCGTGTGTGCACACGCGCGTGTGTGCACGGGTGCGCGCGTATACCGTGCATGTGTGCACGCGTGCACGTGTGTATGGTGCATGTGCGCACGTGCATGTGTGTGCCTTTGTGCACATGCTTGTGCATGGGTGCTCGTGTATGTGTACACTGTGCATGTGTGCACACGTGCACGTGTGTGTGTGTGTGTGCTCGCGTGTGTGCCTGTGTGAGCGGCATGCGGCCTCGAGGAGGGGGCCCGCCGGGCTCGGGAGGGGATTTAAAGCTGCTTCCGCGGCTGCCGGCGTGAGCGCTCCTGATAAACACCCCGGAGCCGAAGCGCTGCCGGCGGCGGGAGGCTGCGTATCAGAGCTCCTGGCAGGCTCGCAAAAAGCTGTCCCCGGCCCCGCGAGCCGCTCTATCAGCCCACGGAGGGAGGGCGGGGGAGGCAGGAGGGAGGGAGGGAAGAAGTATTTGCTTCAGCCCTTAATCACGGAATTTGAAATCCCAGCAAGTCGGTGCCGTTTATTTTCAGAGGCTGTCGAGGCGGGTTTCAGCGTTTAAAAGAAAAGGAGGATAAAAAACATTTGCATTTCCCTCCCTCTCTGCTCTCTCCTCTCTCCCCCTCACTCTCTGCTCACCTCGCTGCCAGTTGGGGCTGTGTGTTGGGGAAGGGATGCCAGAGAGAGATTTTTCAAGGCGCTTCGGGCCCCGGCCAGTGTGGGGGGCAGCCGCGGTCAGAGGCAAGGGTGTCGGTGTGATGGGTGGGGGGGAGGACCAAGCCTGGTGGAATGGGACAAGGGATGGAGGTGGGGATCCAGGCTTGGCCGGGGCTGCTGTTTTGGGGGGTGCTGGGGGCTGTCGGCGGGGCTCTCCTGGGTCCCTCCAGAAAGGATCCCTGGCCCCCAAATTTGCCCCAGCCCCGGGGGACCCCACCAACTCTTCCTGGCTTCTGCAGTGGAAGTCTAGGATGTTGAGGCTGCGAGGGGAGCTAGGACACCCCCCGGGGCAGCACCCTCCCTGCACAGATAGGGAACTGAGGCCTGGAAGCGCAGAATGACACGGCCAAGGTCACACCCTGGCAGGGCCAGGGCAAGGAGGGAGGCTAACTGGGTGTTAAGCATATGCTGGATGCCAAGCGCTCTGCAGCACCGAGCACGGGGCTCTGATCGGCGCTGGACGCTGAGCTGGGGTCTGGGCAAGGAGGTCTTTGCCATCAGATGGACCAACCAGGGCTCCAAAGCCAGCCGTGATGCTTTCCAGCACAGTGACCTTGGCCATGGCCTTCTCTCTGACCTTCAGCTGGAGCCCATGGTACCTCCCATGAGGACCATGTCAATGCGTGCACTGCATTGCGGAGGTGGCTCTGTCACCGGCATCCTTCCCGTGTCCACCGCACTCACTGTTCTTGCCTGGTGTCTCTTGGGGAATGACTTGGTGGTTGGATGATTCTGTCCTTGAAGAGGCTGGGGCACAGAACCCCCCTGGGTCTGCTCCCCAGGGCTCCCTTCTGAGACTCAGTTTCCTCACTGGTGAAATGAGAAAACCCACAGAATTACGGTCGTATTTCGATGAGTTAATGCATGTGAAGCCCTGGGCAGAACACAGAGCACTGGGAGGTGCCCTCCCACCGCCATTGTGATGATGACTTTTAGCTTTATGAGTATGTGCCCACCTGTCTCACTCTGAAGATTCCAGACGTCTCTAGGCCAAGACCCTGCGGTTCGTCTCAGAATGCCTCTTGGTCCCAACTTAAGGGAGTGATGCTGAAAGGTGCCCAGTAGTCCCCCTGCTGAGGCAGATGGAGAGAAAGCCATCTGGAGGGGAGAAAAGAACCCCGGCCCTGTGGACGGACCCCCCACTTTGCCTGAACTGAGGCTGGGAAGTAAGTTCTGGTACCTTTTGCAGACACCCAGGATGCCCCACTCCCCGCCCCCCCCCCCACCATTTGCTGATTTTTTTAATTAGCAAAATGAGCCATCGTCATTGTTACACCACAGAAGGTATAAAGAAAGTAGTAAAATCGTCTCCCTCCCAACACCTCCCAATTCAACTCCCTAGATAACCAGCGTCCAGAGATTAAGACTTCTGTCTTAAGTTTCTTCTGTCAATAGAAGCCCATCTAAATACTTCTTTTGATAACAGTCGGGCAGTGCTCTACATCCTGTTTGGCAATTTATTTTCCTTTACACATTACAGTCTCCTTTCCAGGTCTATACGTGTGGCGACCTCGCTCTTCCTCGTGACTGAATAGTGTTCCCTTGTGCGCATGCCCCTGCGCGCGGTGATCCAGTCCCCGGTGGATGGGCACAGAGGTTGTGTCCACTCTTGCCCTCTCAGGGCTGCAGAGAACGGGCTGGCCTTCCGCAGCAGGCAGAGTTGTTGGCATCGGAGGGGCCGCTGTACTGAGGGTGCACGGGGAGGACAAGGGCGTCTGGGGGAGCACCCCCCTTCCCCAGGGACAGGCTGGTTGGTGCCCTGCTAGGACCAGGGCTGGGTGGGGAAGATAGCCTCAGGGAAAGCAGGGTCCTGGGGTCCCTGCCCTCAACCCTGCAGGGGAAGGAAACCCCTCACCCGGCCACCTGGGGGCCCCGGGGTGTGGAAGCCGTGCGGAGAGGACCCAGTCTGGGCTGTTCCGGCAGGGCCCCTCCCCACCTCCCTGCCCTGAGGAGGTGGAGTGGTCTGTGTCCCTGGGTGGGGGGACAGTAGCCATCTCCCTCTCCTCCGCCTTTAGCACCTTCTGTGGCCCCCCGTCCCTGCCTCCCTCTCCCCTCCACACTGCCCCCGCCCACCAGAGGGGAACCCCAAACCTTGCATCCACGGAGAGAGCCTAAGTCAGCCAGGAGCGGCTCTGTGTGCAGCGAGGTGGGCCTTTGTTCATGATTTTGTTGTTTGTGCATCGAAGGGAACATTCAGTGTGGCTTCTGGAGACAGGCTGACCCACGTTCAGTGACAGCTCCATCCATTCCAAGCTCCAAATCCTCGAGCCTCAGTTTCCCAGTCGTGGTACCGAACTTCCCCACGGGGGCACCGACAGCACCTGCTCCACAGGGATGGTGGGAACTCCGTGAAGGGGTCCACGCGAAGCCTTCACGAGTCTCCTGACCCGCAACAAGTTCTCAATGAACGCCCGCTATTGTCATTACTATTTTTGTTATTATTCCTAATCGTGATGTTTTCAAAAATCTGCAGTACAAAAAGACCGCCTCTGAGTTGGTTGTCAAACCCAAGAAAAAGTCTGCCGTGGTGTGTGTGCTGTGGGTGGCGTGTGGTATGTGATGTACGGTGTGCATGTGAGGGTGTTATGTTTGATGTGTGTGTGGTATGTGTGTTAAGTATGGAGTGTGTGGGGTGTGTTACATATGGTATGTGTGTGAAGAGGTGTGAATGCAGTATGTGTGGTGTGTGCAGCATATGTGAATGCGGTGTGCGGTATGCATGTGTGCATGTGTGTCCTATGTATGTCAGGGTGTCCTCACACCATCTTTTGTGCCCTCTGCCCCCTGCCAGGCACTCTCTCCATTATCTCGGGCCCCTGGACTCTGTCCCTCTCCCCGGGAATCACTGTCACACCTACATCTTCCTTGTTACTGAAGGACAAGCCTGTTGACCTGGTGACCTGGGAAGACCCGAGGACAACCCTGGGAAGCCGAAGAGGCCCCCCTTCCCTAACTACGTCCCCATCCGGCCCCACCCCACAGTCTCTTTGAACACGGGTCCACGTGGGCCTCATGTTCGGTGGGGTTTAGGTCAGCATCACCACTGGCTGTGGGAAGTTGCTTCTACCTCTCGGGCCTCAGTTTCCCCATCTGGAAAAGAAGGATAAGAACAATAAGGTCCTAAGATTGTTTAAGCTCCTCATTTGCTCCCAACAGACAAACAAACAAGCGAACAAACAAAACGAATGAACCAGAAAATGCTCAACCTTCCCAGAGACACTGAGAGCAGGAAGAGGTGTGTCCAAGCAGGCGATCCGCACAGACTCACATAGCACACGGGCTCCTGGGATGGAGCGAGACTCTTCCTCTCCCTTTCCCCCAAGAGTTGTGTTTATTTTAAGCCCCCTGCCCTCCTCAGTGGCTCTGGCAGTATTTCTAGATTTGCTGGGCAGGGTGAGCCAGGTGGAGCTGAGCTAAAAGGTGGGGTGTGGGCTCCCCAAGGAATGGGCTCTTCTGACACCCTGAGAACATTGCCACGGCCAACATTCCTGAGTGTGCCCCATGGGCCATATCTTGAGCCAGCCCCTCCTCACCAAGTGTTTTCTCACCCCGGCTGCCCAGAAGAGAAGTGACAGGAGTAAGACCCCATATGCGTGTAGACCCTTAGGGCTTTTTCAAGGCATGTTCGTAGATCTTGTTTATCATACTAGACAGTGAACAAGTCTCTTCCTCTCTCAAGGCCTCAGTTTTCTTATCTGTAAAATGGGGCTATGACGATGAGTCAATGAGCTGAGGATGTGAGGCTGCCGGCCCAAAGCCCCACATCTGGTAAATGTGAACCAGTGTTAACTCTTGTGGTGGATGGGGCCATTGTGCCCAGTGATTCTGGACCCTAAGAAGGTGACACCTCCCTGCCCCAGGGTCAGCGACTCGCCGTGCCTCCCTATGGGCAGAGCATACTTCCACACCCACTGGCAGCAGGCTTGGTCACGTGAATTGCTCTGACCAATGAACTGTGAGAAGTGACCACATGCCAGTGCCTGGCAGAAGCCTGAAAATCTATCCTGTGGTTATGCCAGCTCTCTGACTCTTTTCTCTCAGGTTTACATGGCCTAGATAGGGGCTGTATCTTCAGCCTGGACCCCAAAATAAAGATAGCATGTGAAGCAGAGTGGTGCAGTGGAGGGGCAAGCAAACTGTGGGCAGCATTAAACCTGAAGGAAGATAAACCTTGGCTATGGTAATGTACTTATATTTAGGGAATGCTTGTTATGTAGCATAACCTAGCAAAATCTGACCAATACAGAAATTGGCAGCATCAAAAATTTGTAGCACTGGTTCTAAGAGTAGGTAACAGATGACAGGTGACAAGGAATCAGTTATTGGGGGTAGGAGAGATGGTGACCCATGTTATACAGTGGGAAACATTTGGGAAGATTCTTGTCCACAGTAACTTGCAAAGCTGATACTATACTGCACTTGTGGCTTTAGCTGAAGAGCTTGGGAAACAGAAATGTCTAGAATGTCTTTTCGCTACATGTCATGGGCTGAATCAAGTCCCCGCAATTCATATGTTGAAGCCCTAACCCCCAGTACCTCAGAATGTGACTGTATTTGGAGACAGGGTCCTTAAAGAGGTGATTAAGATAAAATGAAGTCTTCAGGGGGGGCCCTAATCCAACATGACTGGTGTCCTTTTAAGAAGAGAAAATTTGCATACAAATGTGTACAGAGGAAAGGCAATGCGAAGACAGGGAGAATATGGCCCTCTACACACCAAGGAGAGAGGCCTGGAACAGACCCTTCCTTCCGGGTCTTCAGAAGGAACGAGCCCACTGACACCTTGATTGTGAGAACCAGCCTCCAGAATTGTGAGAAAATAAAGTTCTGTTGTGCTTTGTTACAGCAGCCCTAGAAACTCACACACTGCCTTTCACAAGCACATCAGAGATGCCCTCTGAAAGGAATTAGCCTGCTTACAAGCAGGAAAGACAGGGAAAGGGAAAATTCAGAAATTATGGGTTTGCAGGGTTGAAAAATGCAACGATTTCTCATCTCTAGCCAGTGAAAGGGAAAGGAAGCAGGAGCTCCACGGGCCCGGTGCCCAGAGGCCTGGAGCCCACGGGAGGATGCAGAGATGGCATCAGGGGAAGGGGGCCCCTGTAGGATGCTGAGCTTGGGTGTAAACACCTCATCCCCAGTGGAAAAAGGTGGCATTCCCCACCCCCACCCTAGCAGTTTGTCTTCCAGAAAACCTAGAGAGAAAACCCAGTCCCATTGTGGGAAAAGCCTGCTCTCTGCCTGACAAGTGGGCGCAACAGACCCAGGTCCTGCCCCTCCGGCAGTTAGCAGATTCCGCAAATTCGGAAATGACATTTTAGTAAAAGTTCTAATACGTGGGTGTTTGGAATACATGATGTGACCTTGGAGCAGATAATGAGTTTAAATTTTAACTGTCTGTGTCCCCAGAAATGTATCGTTTGAGAAGTCCAATTGTAAATTTGAATCTTTATGTAGAGGCCTGAAAAATGGGTAATCCACAAATAATCAATAAAGAATATTCTAGACTTATGAAGAAATAACAAAACTAAGAGATGCCGGGGCTTCCCCGGTGGCGCAGCGGTTAAGAATCTGCCTGCTGGACTTCCCTGGTGGTGCAGTGGTTAAGAATCCGCCTGCTAACGCAGGGGACACAGGTTGGAACCCTGGTCTGGGAAGATCCCACATGCCGTGGAGCAACTAAGCCCGTGCGCCACAACTACTGAGCCTGCGCTCTAGAGCCCACGTGCCACAGCTACTGCAGTCCGCGTGCCTAGAGCCCGTGCTCCGCAACAAGAGAAGCCACCGCAATGAGAAGCCCGCACACCGCAAGGAAGAGTAGCCCTCACTCACCGCAAATAGAGAGAGCCCGTGCGCAGCAACGAAGACCCAATGCAGCCAAAAATAAATAAATATAAATAAATTTATTTTTTTAAAAAAAGAAATGCCTCAGGTGATAGAGTCTAGTTAAGACCCAGTGTCAGGGTAAAGATTGCATAGGCATATGACCAGCACTCCCTTGGTTAAAACCTCTGGTGAGGGGCTTCCCTGGTGGCGCGGTGATTGAGAGTCCGCCTGCCAATGCAGGGGACATGGGTTCGTGCCCCGGTCCAGGAAGATCCCACATGCTGCGGAGCGGCTGGGCCTGTGAGCCATGGCCGCTGAGTCTGCGCGTCCGGAGCCTGTGCTCCGCAACGGGAGAGGCCGCAACAGTGAGAGGCCTGCGTACCGCCAAAAAAACCCACAAAAAACCCTCTGGTGAGCTCAAGATACCTGTGATAAAGTCTAGAGAGGCAAGTCTAGAAAAATTGGATGCATCTTCAGCGTAAGAAGCTGAATGGCAACAAATAGAGAAAGGGTAACTAAGTTCTGAAGATGGTCACACTGTCAAAAGAGCTGCCAGTCTGGACTAAAAGAGGCTGTGACCGTTCACGACTTCAAACAGCATCTGGACCCCAAAGGGAGGAAAGCTGATGAGCCCCATCGATGTGGCCAAGGAGGTGATGGGAAAGGAAGTCCTCCCAGAGGGTGACCCAGGGGCCACAGGGAACGGGGGGCTGGGAGCAGTTCTGAGGGAGCACAGATTGAAGAGTGTTTTCTTCACCTGGGCGAGGTGAGCCCCACGGTGTCCACCCAGCGGGACTCAGGATCGCCACGCACAGTGCCTGCGGCTCCCCTCCCAGCCCTCCCCCTTCTAAAGGAGCATGTCTGCAGGTTACCCTGTCCCTCTTCCACCCCTGAGTATCAGGCGTGTGGATGAATTGCTAGGGCCGCCGTAACAAATACCAGACTAGGAGGCTTAAACAGCAGAGATTTACTTTCTCCCAGTTCTGGAGGCTGGAAGTCCAAGAGTAAGGTGTCAGCAGGGCTGGTTTCTTCTGAGGCCTCTCTCCTGGGCTTGTAGACGGCCTTCTTCTCATTGTGTCCTCGCATGGTCTTTTCTCTGTGTGCACACACACGTGTCTGGTGTCCTTCTGTGTGTCCCTCTTCTTACGAGGACACTGGTGGGTTAGGGCCCACCTTAAAGGCCTCATTTTAACTTAATTACCTCTTGGGAATTCCCTGGATGCCCAGTGGTTAGGACTCTGCACTTTCACTGCTGGGGCCCAGGTTCAATCCTTGGTCAGGGAGCTAAGCTCCTGAAAGCCGTGTGGCACGGCCAAAAAACAAACAAACAAAACCCCAAAAGTAATTACCTCTTATAAGATATATCCAAACATGGTTACATTCTGAGATACTGATGGCTGGGACTTCAACGTGCAAATTTTGGGGAGACACAATTCGTCTATAACTGTGTGTGAGACCAGAAAACGTTACCCCATATACAGAGCTCCGTATGAAGAGAAGCATGGAGCGTGGGGTGGCATTGACGCAGTTGCATTTAGCCGGCAGCTGGGCTGGAAGGTCCAAGGAGTCTTACTTTGTAGGTTCGGAACCTCAGTGCTCCCCCACTGGCCCCTCTCTTTTCTCTCCCTCCCTCCCTCCCTCCCTCCCTCTCTCTCTCCCCCTCCCTCTCCAGGGCTTCCTCACAGCATGGTGGGTTTTTACATGGCGGCTGGCTTCCAAGAAGGAGCATTCCAGGAAGGGTGCAGAGGCTTCAAAGCCAATCCTGGGGCCAGCCCGGATTCAAGGGGAGAGGGAAAAAAACACCAGCTAGGTCTTGAAGGGAGGATGACAGAGAGCCTGCAGCCATCTTTAATCTCCCACATGCTCTAGAAAGGGCCATTACACAAGCTCCATGTTCCATACGATACAAGTCCAATTGGTGAGAAGTCTACTCATCTTGGGCCCTTTATATTTCTACATCCCTCCATTCTCAGATATTCAAAGTCCTTAAATGCATCCATTTTTCTAGAAGTAATACCTGGTGAGTCTGGCACCTCAAAACACCACCTATTCTTCCTCATCTGCGGAACTCTCTGAGGGCGGCAACCCAACCTAGGAAGTCACCCTAGTCTTCACAGTTGGGCTCAGATGCAGTGAACCCCTGAGTCATGCTCTCCACAAGTGTGGGGGCATTGCCTGTCGGGGCTGAGTCCTGACCTTGGACCCCTCTGGGCCCTCACATGGGAACCCTGTGGCTCAGAGAGGTTATGTGACTTGCCCAAGGTCACTCAGCTAGGAAGTAGTAGCAGAGCCAGGATTTGAACCCATGGCTGTTTTGCTCCCGAGTTCTTAGCCACTGGGGTCTCCTGCCTCACAGGCTGTAAGTGGTCTACAGATATTTAGGATATTTAGTAAGTGGATAAATAAACTACTTGGTGTTTCCTTTGGCAACCTGGGAGGTTCTGGATGCAGTCACAGGGGTGTTGCAATCTCAAGAGTTGACTAGAAGTCTAGAAACTAGAGTTAAGGTAGGATGCATTAACCGGAATCCACTTTCCTCCCCTGCCCTCAGAGGAAAAGTGGGTGCTTTTAATGCAGAATATGGAAAATGTGCAAAAATAATAGCGACTTTGACATTCAATGAGAGCTCGCAGTGCCCAGCCACGGTCCCGAGAACCTTCCATAGATTAACTTCATTTACTTTTCCCAGGGACCTGATGAGCTTAGGGGGCATCATTATTCCCATTTTACTTATGAGGAAACTGAGGCACAGAGGAGGTTAAGTCTGTGCTTCTCAAACGATCTGTGGTGAAGGAACTTTCAGAAAAAAAATTTCCAATCTGTGGGAAGTGACGCTTTTGTAATCTAGACAGTCGCAATTGGACGTAGGCAGTGCCAAACTGCTATGGATGTTTCTAAATTATCGCTTTCTATGCTTCTCTTATCATGTCAACAAACAGTGTGTGGGCCAGCACCAGCTTGTGGACCACACTTTGGGTTGCACAGCATCGAGTGGCTTGCCAATGGTTATCCAGCTGGTCAGCGATGGGGCCAGGATCTGGATCTGAATCCGAGCTCTTGACCACTCACTCTGTCAGCAGGAGGGATGGAGAAGGGTTTGGCCATTGAGTATAGATCGTAATAAGTATCTGAGAAAGTAGAGAAAGAACACAGAGTGACTGAAAACCTATAGGTTGGTATCAGAAGTGTTAAGGAGTTTGTGCAAAATTCCAGAGCTACTATCGAGAGAACTGGGGCGAGAATAAAAGGGCTGCTGAGAGCTATTGCCATGGGTTGTGAATTAGACCTCTTTGAAGTTCTTTGGGGAACAAGTGAGTTCAGAAAACTCATTTAAATTACTTTCGACTGCTGGACTATTAAGTCAGTCAGCGCTGAGACTGAGCTATGTGGAACCTTGGCTTTTATTTGGGTTACACCGACATGAGCTTAGGTCTCTGCACATCTCTCTCCACCCCCAAAGAATTTAAACCACCACCAAGTTGTGACCTACTGAGGGTTCAATGAGCACTTCGGGAATGAATGAGTAATGAACAAACAGGTAAATGGTCAGACATAAAGTCCTTCTTACAAGTCCATTGGGTGCAAGACTCCAAGAGAAAATGCTGGATATGGAGGACCAGGAGGGGAAGCAAGCCCTCCACATGTCAAAAGTGACCATCATTAAATTATAGGATTAAAAGTGGCCTTATTGTCTGTATTGAGCTTATCTGTATTTTCTACAATGTCTATAACAAGTATGTCTTACTTTTGTAGTAAACATGAAGTTATTTGGGAGGAAATAAACAGTCCCTACTTTAAGTGTGCCCCCACTTCAATTGGAGAAAAGATGGTCAGATCACTGAGAGTAAGGATCTAGGCAAACGGGAGGTGCTCAATGCGTTTGGCTTAAATTTCAGTCATGCACCGGAAGGAAGGAGACCCTTTCTGAGAAGGGCACTTTTCTTTATTTCTTTATCTCTTGCGCCCGTAGGTACCACTGTCCTTAGTCTGTAGGCTCACCGTGGGCAAGGCCAGGTTGCCTGGACTGATGCCCCCCACCTAGTGCTGGGTCTGTAACAGCCACAGTTGGCCCCCCATGGGGATGGCAAAGTCTATCTATCTGCGTGGTTTACTTCTCCTTCCGGTTCTCTGGTCTGTTCAGTTTCCAAGGGGACGAGGGATGGGGACAGCCTGGGGACCTCAGAAGACCAGGCAGAAGAGGCCACCTGCTTCCCCTCCCTCAGGGCCTCTGTGGCTGGCTGTGCCTGCGGCATGGCCTGTCTCCTTCCTTTCTTCTAACTTCCCATCACCTGGCTGGGCCCCTGGGGCAGAGTGCAGGCTCCTGGGGCCACAGTCCCAGCTTCTCTCCCCCTTCCCCTCCCAGCTCCTGTCTCTCCCCTTTCTGGCTGCCTCAGCTCCTGCTCAAGGTCAAGGAACGAACAGACCTTTCCCTGGAGCCAGCCACGGAGAGGACGCCTCCAGCTAGAATCCAATTCTGAGTCAGGGCCAGGGCTTTCTCTTTCCTGTGAATGTGAAGACAGGAAGGAAATTTTCTGTAGCCATAAAATCAGTGAAAAAAAAAAAAGTTTTGTAGGCAGAGAAGAAGCCAAGGCACAAATAACACATGGAAATGGTCAGACCTGGAGAGGGAGGGTCCGGGGGTAAACTCGAATATCCTTGTAGCTTTTAGCAATATCTTCTTTCACCTGAGGGCCAACCAGGTGTTGGTCGTGGGATTGAGAACATGGGATGGCTCCCTGGCTTTTGGGGACAGAATTGGGGGGGGGGGTCTAAGTGGAGTCAAGTGTGGGGATGAGCAGGGAGGTGAAGACTCAGGATGTTTCTAGGCTTTGGGTCAAGACAGTCCAGTGGCTGGAGCCAGGACCATGGTTTTGGAGACCCAATATGACTAGCAATGAACTTGATGGATTTCTAATCTTAGAGGGATGAACCTGGAACCCAGAGAAGGCAGCGCTGGCCAACTTGGGAAGGGTCTTATAGGCAATGAGAGCGATTTAGGACTTTACCCAGAGGACAGATAGAAGCCATGAAAGGTTTAAGTGGGAGAATCGAATGGTCAAGTGTCTAATGTGGAAAGATCTCTCTCATTGCACCGTGCACGTGGCCTCATGGAGAGCAAGCCTGGAGGAAGGGAGAGCAGCAAGGAGGCTGCCACTCTGATCCAGGTTGGTGGCTGAGCAGGTGGAGAGAAGATTCAGGGTATGTCAGAGGAGGGAGGTATGACAGGTCTGGGTGACTGACTCACACGGCGGTGGCACTGGGGAGAGAGGAACGGGAAGAGGATGGCGCCCAGGCTTTTGGGCAGAGTGACTGGGTGTATGGAAGGGGTTCTGCAGAGGAAGAAGGGGAGGATTTGGGAGCAGGATACATATTTTTATTTCTTGAATATTTTTTTGAGTTTTGACCAAGTACCACGGGACAGGACACCAAGAAGGATAAGGCATAGCTCTGACCCAGAGAAGCCAGAATTCACACATATCAAGAAAAAGCCTGGGCTTCCCTGGTGGTGCAGTGGTTGGGGGTCCGCCTGCCGGTGCGGGGGACACGGGTTTGGTCCCTGGTCCAGGAGGATCCCACATGCTGCGGAGCGGCTGGGCCCGTGAGCCACAATACTGAGCCTGTGCTCTGGAGCCAGCGGGCCATAGCTACTGAGTCAGCGAGCCACAACTACTGAGCCCACATGACACAGCTGCTGAGGCCCGCATGCCTAGGGCCCGTGCTCTGCAGCAAGAGAAGCCACAACAATGAGAAGCCCACCCACCGCAACGAAGACCCAACGCAGCCAAAAATAAATAAAAGAAAGAAAGAAAGAAAGAAAGAAAAAGCCTGTAAGGGTGGGGCTGTAGGGATCTAACCCTGAGACATTGGGACTTCGGGCGATGGAGAGGTGGGGGAGGGCTGCAGGAACTGGATGGGCCTAGTTGGAGGGGTCAGTGATGAGCAGCTGCAGGACCGCGACTTGGCCTTCCACATCCTTCACACCCCTTCCCACGAGCCCGTGTGCCTGGCTCTATGCCAGGCAAGGTGTCCCCGCTTGATGCCCTCCCCCTGCTGCCCACTCCAGCCTCAGAGCTGGCCTCTCCCTGGCTCTCTGGTAAACTACTCTCTCTTCAGCTAAAACCAGAACGCGACCCGATGTTTCCCTAAGGGGCCTTTGTCTCTCGTCTCCCATGTGTCTGGGAAACACTCTCCGTTCCACATTTTACCTGGATTGCTTCTACCCATTCTTTATGTCTCAGCTTAGAGGGTCTTTGTCCTGGAAGCCTTTCCTGTCGCCTAAATCTGGGCTGATTGTGCCTCTCCTGTGCTGAAGAAACATTCTTTGGGTGGATGCATGGGGAATGAATGGACATTTGGATGAGTGGATGAATGAATGAAGGGATGAATGGGGGAGATGAATGAATGGAGATGGGTGAATGGATGGGGGATGGATGGCTGAATAGATGAACTAATGGATAGATGGGTGAAGGGGACGATTGGTGAACTAGGTAGATGGATGGTTGGGTAGATGAAGAGCAGAGGGTGAACTGGTTAGGTGGGAGGTAGGGTAGGTGGGATAGGTGAATAGGTAGGTGGGTTAGCGGATGGAGGGGGATGGAGAATGGCGGGCACGTGGAAAGGAGCCTGGATGTAAAGGAAGGGAAAGGAGACGAGGCTGGCTCAGGCATGTGGAAATTTGTGGAAGGCCCAGCGTGTCCAAGGCAGCAGTGGAGTCGGAATCTTGTTCTTCTTACTCCTTCCTCTGACCCCTCGGCTTCCTCAGAGCATTCTGCTCCCACATTGGAGGGACCCAGCTCTGGGCACTGCAGTCAGAGATGTAACTGGCACCAGGAACCTTCTTCCATTTTCCCTCTTTTTTTTTTTTTTTTTGCGGTATGTGGGCCTCTCACTGTTGCGGCCTCTCCCGTTGCGGAGCACAGGCTCCGCGCGCGCAGGCTCAGCGGCCATGGCTCACGGGCCCAGCCGCTCTGCTGCATGTGGGATCTTCCCGGACCGGGGCACGAACCCGCGTCCCCTGCATCGGCAGGCGGACTCTCAACCACTGCGCCATCAGGGCAGCCCTTCCCTCTTTTGTATAACTCTTCATCTTGTGGATTTTTTTCCCAGCTGGTCTGATTACTGACAATGCCCTGCGTCTGGGGATGAACTAAGAGATTTCCGTCTCTCCGTAGCCATTTTCCTCCCGCTTCCTTCCTCGCCTTCTCCACCCTCCTCCTCCTCTGCTGGGGCCTTGCAGCACAGAGCCGGATACCCACCTGTGCTGGGCCGGTCTGCAAGCACAGCCTTAGCCAGCAGCGGCTGCCTGAGCCCCGTTGCCCTCGGCCCCAACCAGCCCCGGTCCCTGCTGCCTGGTGCCCGCCCCCGCCCGGCAGCTCCGATTTTCAGCTCGGGTTTGATCGCCTGCCAGGATCTTCCAAATGTCAGCTGCAACGTTAGCATCTTTAAGAGAGCGCCCGAGGCGATCTTTAAGCAGGGAGGCTGGGGCCCCATGCTGATGAGAGGAGCGGGCTCCGGGCTGACAGCTCTGCCTGCTGCCTCCCAGCCGCAGTTCTGGGAGCCTGTGGCCCCCCAGTCTTTGGACCTGGACAGTACTTGGGTTTATTTTTAAGTCTGGATGAAGCAGGGCTTTGCCAGGAGTTGAGCTCGATCCCCATCGCCTCCCCCTACCAGGGAGCCCCAGGAGGGAGAGGGGGCCGGTGTTGTCACTGCTCTACCCCCAAGGCCAGCGTGAGGACTGACCCTGAGGGGGAGGGGATAAATATTTGTTAATCAAATGACCACACGAGCATCCTAAGCTGCCCCAAAGAGCGAATGCTGAATAGGGTGCTTTCTCCCTCACCTTCGCCTTGAGGGTGAGATGCTCAGGGTGAGGGGAGATGAGCAAAGGCTCCAGCCTTTGGAGTCAGACCGACAGATCCAGCATGTGGGAGCTGTGTGACTTTGGGAAAGTTGCTGGCCCTCTCTGAGCCTTGGCTTTTCTTTTTAATAAATTTATTTACTTATTTATTTATGGCTGCGTTGGGTCTTCTCGTTGCTGCGCACCGGCTTTCTCTAGTTGCGGCGAGCGGGGGCTACTCTTCCTTGTGGTGCGGGGCTTTCTCATTGCAATGGCTTCTCTTGTTGTGGAGCACGGGCTCTAGGCGCGCGGGCTTCAGTAGTTGTGGCTCGCGGGCTCTAGAGCTCAGGCTCAGGAGTTGTGGCACACAGGCTTAGTTGCTCCGCGGCATGTGGGATCTTCCCGGACCAGGGCTCGAACCTGTGTCCCCTGCATTGGCGGGCAGATTCTTAACCACTGTGCCACCAGGGCCACCAGGGAGGTCCCTCAGAGCCTCGGCTTTATCATCAATGAAATGTGCAAGAGGATAGAATGCCAGCCACGTAGTTGTTGGGAGGATCCACGAGCTAACGAGATGGGAACACTGGGTACAGTGCCAGCACATAGTAGGGACTCAAGGGAGTCGGTCCCCTTCCTCTCTTTCCCCTTTCTGCCCCTCTGCTGCCCCTATGGCTTTGCAGGTGCTATTCCTTCTGCCACGAAGGCCCTTCTCCAATCACCCTTGTCCTTCCAGATCCTGAGCACGCCCCTGCTCTGGGACCCCTCCTCACCCGCCCAGTCCAGGCACAGTTGACACTCCTCCTCAGGTCCCCCAGGACAGAGTTCGCGCCTGACACCCACGCAGTGTGACTGTGGTTTCTGTTCCAAGCCAAGGGTCGGCACATTTCTTGGGGGCAGAAAATATTTGTATTGGTTTCTAGAGTCTTAAACAGGTCCTAGTACACAGCCGATGCAGAATGAATGAATGAATGAATGAATGAATGAATGCCTAGTTAGTTGGTGTGAGCAGAATCAAGGAACGTTTCTGGAAGGTTTCAGTAATAAGGGAATGTACACCTCAAAGGCTGAGCCCTGCTAACACCTTCACAAAACTCCCCATGGTGTTGGTGAAAGGCTGTTGCCTTTTCCCAAAATGCCACATTTCTCTCGGATCCTCGGAACAAGGATGATTATTCTCAGTTTCCAGTTGCCCTTTGTCACACAGCGGGTTGGAGGAAGGTGCCTGGTCCAGACCATTCTTCTGATCCTTGGTCCCTGGACTGGTGGGTCATGGCCCATCCCATGGCCGCCACTGGTGCCCATGGCACGCTCCCCAGTGCCCTGATGATCAATGCCCTTTGCAGAGTGGTAAGGCTATGGAAGTGGCCTCCATATTGGTGACTTGGTCTATTTCCACATTTTTGAGGCCTGTCACTTGAGACTGAAATGCCCAGATGGGGAGGTGAAGTGACTCAGAAGCACCTAGAGGCCAGATCCCGCCCAAGTGGAGGCAAGCAGGGGAGAGCAGCCTGAACCTCTTACACTGGAGTTGCGGTCTTGATGGGGACCAGTTGGAACTGGTGTGCTGAACTGGGGGATGGGGAATTGGTACACTTCCACAGAGAGGACAGAATCAGCACCCAGCTCACATAAGCATATGTTTAAAAACTAAAAGGTGAAGGAACCGGACTCAGAATGGTTATAGAATAAAAACAGAATGAATAGACGAATGAATGGTGGGTGAGTGGTAGGTGGATGGATGGATACATGGGTGGGTGGTGGTTGGCTGGGTGATGGCTAGATGACTGGATGAGTTGATGGATGAATAGTTGGGTAGATAAATGGATGGATGGATGGTGGATAGATGAGTGGGTGGGTGGATGGGTGAAGAGATGGATGCGTAAATGGGTTTACGCAGGGGTGGGTAGGTGAGTGGATCGGCGGATGGATGGATAGATGGGAGATGGGTGGATGGATGAGTAGATGCATGAGTGGATGGATGGATGGTGGATGGAGATGTAGATGGGAAGATGGACAAGTGAATGGGTTCATGGATGGGTGGGTGGGTAAGCGTGTAAGTACATGGATAGACGGGTGGATAGATGGGAAGATGGATGAATGAGTGGGTAGGTGGGTGAGTGGATGGATGGGCAGATGGTGGCTGGGTGGAGGGATCTGCAGATGATAGGACAGGAAGCATAGGATGGACAGGAAGATGGATGGGGAGTGGGATAGGTGGATGGGTGAGTGGGTGGATAGAGGTAGCGTTGGTGTAGAGTGAAGAGCAAACTGGTTGAGGGTTAGGGAATCTTGCCACTGCCCCGATTCTCACCCTCATGCCCTACGGGCCTTGTGCTGGTCATCTGACCTTCTTGGACGTCAGCTTCCTTACCTGCCTAAAAGGGCAATAGTCCCCGCCCCCACCCACTACCCAGGGATCAGAAAAGACCCCTGGCTGTGAGTACTCCCTGGCACCATGACCTCTCCAGCCCTCCTGACCAATGTCACCCTGCCCATGTGCCCATCCTGTGCTGAGCTCCCCCCTTCCCGTGCCCAGGGCACTTCTGTGCAGTTTCCATCAACGCTTTTTAATAGAGGTCAAGGGAATTCTGTTCACAGCCCAGTCCAGCAGGGCAACACCCACAGCCCTGAGTCTGGTCGAGCTTGGCTGTTATGCGCTGGGGTTAAGAGGCCATCTCTGAGATCAGGAAGCGGCAGCTCTGGCACTCAGTGCGGTGGGACCTGAGGCAGGTCAACACCCCTCTCTGAGCCTCACTTTCCCCACCTGAAAACAGGGCTAGCAGCAGCCACCCAAGGAGGGTGCCTAAGAGGCCCCACGACGCAACACACGTGGGTGTTCAGCCCAGCATGGGGCCCAGGGCTGGGCTCGGAGAGGCAGAGCTGCCCTTGCTACTATCTTCACCAGAACCGAATGCTGGCCCGAAGGGCTTGCTGTAGAATGAGCCTCCCGGGGGCGAAGGTCTGGCTGCACGCGGGCTTGTGGAACGGGGAAGTTCCCGGGAGTCAAGTACCCCCTGGTACAGGCAGGCTCACAGCCACAGTAGCCAGCTCGGAGGACAACTCTGTGTGGCGGCTTTGTGGCCTCACATGTACCTCGTTCTCGACAGCCCACAGCCTGGCACTTCCCCTTGCCAGCTGGGTGACCCTGGGCAAGCGACCTCCCCTCTCTGAGTCTTGTTTTCCTCACCTGTAAAAGGGGGGTTTCGGAGTTACCGCTGTGCTTTCTCATTTGCCTCCCAGCAAGGGGGTGGGACCAGCACCCTTCACTGCTGGAGAGGCAAATGCTGGGGTCCAGAGAGGTTCTAGATCGACTTAAGTGCGGAGCTAGGATAGGAGTGCAGCCCCCTCCCGAGCGCCCAACCTGCCCTAAGTATTCTAGCTGAAGCCTTGGGCTGAACTTTGGGCTCTGGGGCCCCCATCCCGCCTGCTACTGCTACTCCCGGCCAATGCCTGACACTTCCTGGCCAGGGTGGAGTCCTTGCTGTGAGCGGGCGGGGGCGCGGGGGGTGTCACGGGGCTCTCCTTGACATGGAGCCTTGAGAGACTGCCCCCCAGGGGACCCTCCCCCAACACCCGCAGACCCAAGGGGCACCCACAGAGTCCATGGGAGTTTGGGCAGCCCAAGTGACCTGGTTGTTGGGTCAGTGCCCCCTCAGACCTGGTGCCAGGGGACAGGAATGGGGACCCAGGGCCCCTGGGGGTGGCAGCAGTGCAAGATCCCAGCCCCCACCAGCCCTAGGGTCCCCCCTCCCCTTCCCCAACTGCTGCAGACTCTGGTTAAAATGGCATGCCACCATCTGTCATCCTTCCCCCACTCCATGGGCTGGCTGTGACTCTGACTCGGGGACTTCCTTGCCTGTAAACAGGAGGCAGGCAGGTCCCCAGGGCCAGGGGGGTGATGGGCCTGATGCTGGCCCAGGGCTGCTGAGCTGGGGAGGAACCCGTGGGTGGGCGGGCAGGATACCAGGTACCAGGGGGTCTCCAAGCCCTCCCGCAGCGGTGCTCCTACCCCCCAGGGGTCCCTCAGTGACCCTGGCCCCCATCTGCACCCACCCCCTTCCCTGAGCTCCTCCAGCTGCCTGGATCGCTCACATCCGCCCCCGCCTTGCTTCTGCTGTGTTTAGAGAATTTCAAATCAATACCTGGGTCTGAGAGCGTTGATGGACCCTCCCTAACGAGGGTTGCCTCCCTGGGCAGCCTGCATCCCGCCCCAGGCATCTTTGCTTTACAACCCGGAAAACCCAGGCCAGAAAGCAGGGCAGTGGGAGAGCTGGGGGTAGACCAGAACTCACCCCGGACCTGGCCCTGGCTTCAGCTTTGCCTCGCAGTCGGAAGCAGCAAGGGGGAGGGAGGGAGGGGTGACACAGAGGTGAAAGGCTCTGAAACTGTAAACAAGCCTCCTGGCCTCACTTTTCCCATCTGGGGAATGGGGGAGTCAAGGCTGCTCGGAAAGAGTATCTTTTGAGCCAGAGAGCACACGGGGACTTGTTCTTGTCTCCTAAAGCCCGGCAACTTGGGAGGGGCAGCAGTGCGGCTGGGGGCGGTGAAGGGGATTCCTTCTGGGAAAGAATCAGTTCGGGTCAGCCCCCTCCACGGTCCTCCCCCGCCCCAGTTCTGCAGCTTCTCCCTCCCCCCACCACAGGGCTGCCAGCTGCCCCCTCCCCTCCCCGCCTTCTGACTGCCAGCTCCTCCCCGCAAAGCCCCCAGACCCCAGCTGCAGTGTTCTTACAGCTTTGACCAGCCGCTCAGTCCCTCCTCTCCCTCCCCTCCGCCTCCATCTCTCCCCCGCTCTCATCCATCCTCTGCCCCTCCTCCTCTTCATCTTTCTCCCTCTGTTCTCCCCTCTCCATCCTCTCCCCCTCCTCCCCTCCGCCTCCCCCTTCCTCCCTCCCTCTTCCCCCCCCCCTCTCTCCTCTCTCCTCCCCCCCCCCCCCCTTTCCTCCCTCCCGAGCTCTCCCTCCCTCCCTCTCTCCGGGGGAAGAAAGGTCACCGTGCAGCTGATTACTCAGAGCTCAGTTGCTGTAGCAACCGGCGGGGGAAGTGGGACAGGCTGGCTTTGAGGACGCGTGAGGTCGGCCGCGGGCGGCTGGAGCCGGCGCGGGTCTCTGTGCTCCTGCGAGCGGGAAGCTGCCGGCAGCCCGGCTTCTCGGCCGCCGCGGACCCGGCTCCGGGGTTTTTTAATGAAGAATTCCTGCTCCCCTCTCGCACCCCTCCCCGCCTCCTTCCCACCTCCCTGGGGTCTGGAAGGAGAGGATCGCCCCCTCCTCGGTTTGGCTGCTTCTCTCTGGTCGTCTGGTCTCTGTCTCTCCCCCTCTGCTAGGTTCTGATGGCTTCTTTCCTTCTCGTTCTGTCCCAGAGCTCAAAGGCACAAGCCCCTTCCCCACACACGCGCGCGCATAGACGCGAGAGCGCGCGCACACACACGAACACACTCATCTCTCACCGGCTTGGTAAGAAGACCAGTGAAACCCTCAGCATCTCCATCCCCAGCCTGTGTCATGGGCCTGGGAGGCTCCAGGCTTCCTCAGCACAGCCAGAGACAAGAACCCACAGAGGGTCTGGCCCGCTGCTCCCTGAGCACAGCGGCATCTGCCTGGCACCCACTGTGTGCCCAGCTCTGCCCTCCAGGAGCTGGGGCGCGGGCTGGGGAAGGCAGCACTCTGCTCAGAAAGGAAGCCAGACCCGTGAGGGGGAGGGGGGATTGCGTCCCAAGCCCTGCTGTGGCTTGGTCCTTCTCCTGCAGCTCAGAAGCCCAGGGCGCAAGACCTACTGGGACAGAGGGTCCTGGACGTGTCGGATGCAGGCTCTGTAGTGGGCTGGGCCTGGGTGCCGGTCCCCACCCTCCTCTGGGACCCTCCTCCACTGTTAGTGGGAATGTAAAGTGGTTCAACCACTTTGGAAAACATTAGGCAGCTTTTTCAAAAGTGAAGCATACACCTTCCATATGGTCAGGCCATTGCCCTCCTAGGCATTTATCCCAGAGAAATGCAAACTTAGGTCCACGCAGACTTGGACACGAATGTTCATAGCAGCTGCATTTGTAACAGGCAAAACTGGAACCAACCCAAATGTCCGTCAGCAAAAGACTGGCTCCGCAGGTCCTGGACATCCCTATGATGGGGCAGGACTCCGTAAACAACAATAAGAAGAAATGAACTGCCGATACTGCAGCAACGTGGAAGAAACTCAAGGTCATGATGCTGAGTGAGAGGAGCCAGGAGACAAAGAGTGCATACATTTCTAGTACATTCTAGAAAGTGCCAACTAACCTATAGTGACAAAGCAACTCAGGGGACACTGGGTGCTAGGAGCTCCCACAAAAGTCACAAGAAAAGTTTTGGAGGGGGGTGGACGTGTTCACTGTCTTGATGGTAGTGACGGTTTTATACATATGCCGACATGCAATTTTTTTTTTTTTTTTTGGCCATGCCACACAGCTTGCAGGATCTCAGTTCCCCAACCAGGAATTGAACCTGGGCCACAGCAGGGAAAGCCCGGCATCCTAACCACTAGGCCACCAGGGAACTCCCCGAAATGCAGTTTAAATATGTGCAGTTATTGTAAGTCCATTCTACCTCAATAAATTGAAAAAAATTCCTGCTCTGCCACTCACTGGCTGAGTGACCTTGGGTGAGTCACCTCACTTCTCCAAGCCTCAATTATGAAAATGGAATAATGATAGTGGTAACCTCACGGGATGGTTATGAGGATTCAATTGCATAATGTTAGCTCATCACTCAGCTCCATCCCAACCAAACCGAGGGGGCCCCATCCAGGGCAGAGAAGAATAGCACTGGGGGACCTGCCTACAGTTCCCTGTTTCGGTTTGTCCCCCGCTCACTCACTCATGCCTTGGCAATGAGAAGGGGAGCCCCTGATCCATGCTGGGCCTGGCCACTTCCTGGGTAAACAAGGGAGAAACCAGCCCTAACCCCATCCTCATGGGTACATAGTCTGGGGCAGTTACAACACGAGGAAGAGAGGTCCAGGCACTTGCAAAGGCCCTGTGGCTGGTGGGAGCCCTGTATGTCCCAGAAGCTGAAATGCAGGCAGCAAGAGGTGCACAGACAGGCCCCATCCTGTGACCTCTTGCAGGCCCTGGCAAGGAGTTTGCAAGCCTCCTGAGGGCTGCCACGCTCCTGTGTGTGGCTTGTAGGGGACTGTAGTGTTGGCTCCACCTCCGTGCAAATTCCAGCTCTCAGCTCACCTCCCCTTTCTCTAAGCCTCGAATTCCCCATCTGGCAAATGGGAGTGATGATCCCTTATGGGACCTGGCCCAGTGCTCAGTGGTTAGGGGTCTGGGGTGTGGCTGACTCTGTCGTCAGGTTTGCCACACTGTGTTCTAATTCTTGGACTCTGGATAGCTTGCCTGGCCCAACTGTGGGCTCCTGGGGGTGCATGTGCAGCCCCCTCCCCTCTGAGCCTCTGTGTCTGGCACAGAGCAGGCACCCAATAAATATCTCAGGATATGAATAATCAAGGCACCCATGCAGGATAGAGGGTCCACGCTCTGGCTGAAAGACAGACTACCCTCCACCCTCAGCCTTGGTCTGAGGACTTCTCTCAAGTTGAGAGTAAGCGTGGGGACAGTTTTCTTGGGGTTCCGAGCTGTGGTTAGTTTTGGCCCTTTGACTGCGAATGACTTTGACCAGCCAGGTTGTCCCCTTTACTCGCCTGAGGAGGCCCTGGAGAGGACGAGGTTCTGAACACCCACCCCGACCCTGGACCAGCTGCCCAGACCATCAAGGGGGATGGAGTTGACATGAGAGATTCCCACCAGGCATCTCATGCCCAGAGAGGAGGCAGGCCTGGGCCAGGTGCACAGGGAGGCCATGCCAGAGCCTGCCTTGGACTCACCGTCCAGTGCTCTTCCCACAGGGCTGGGCCAGGCTGCAAGCTAGTTGGCCCAATCCTTTCTGATCACCGAGGCTCACACCGGAGCTTCCCAGATTTGCACCAGGGCCGGGGGAGTAAAGCATTATGTTGAGACCCTCACAGAGTTTGCCAGGAAGGCGGGCTCTGGCCTCTGAGTGGCTCACGTTTCCACCACCCCTTTCAAACCTCCTGAGCCCCTGCGCCTGCCCTGGGAGCTGAGGGAGAGCCAGGGCCAGAGGGAGCCCAAAGCCACAGTCCCGACCCCATGGAGCCTCCCAGGCTCTCCCTCGACTTGGCCGAGCGGTGCACCCACCCCCCCCAGCCCCGATGGCTATGGTCTCAGGGAGAAGCTTGACGGAGAAAATCTCACCAAGTAGCACTAGCCTTGGCCTCAGAGGCTAACCCAAATCCCCCCACATGCTCTGTGACCGCGGCCACATCACTGTCCCTCCCTCTCTGACCCACCTCTTCCGAAAGCTGGGCCTGCATCACTCACCTGCAGGGTGCTGGTACCACAAACACCCCGAAAAGCAGTCATTACCGTTAAGAAGCCCATTTTCTGGAGAAGGAGCCGAGGCCTGCGGGGTCTAGGTGAAGTGTCCGAAGCCACCAGGTGGTGACTGATGATACGCACAGCCAGAATCCGGGGCTCCCACCCCAGCTCCGGTGTGACTGTGTGACCTTGAGCAAGTCGCAGCACCCCCTCAGGGCCTCAGTTTCCTCATCTGTGACCTGGGGCTGATAAAGGGACAGAAGGAGCTCGAGCAAAGGTGGCTCTCGGCACAGAGCGCGACACTGTCACCGGTATGATTGTCTGTGGGCAGAGCCCTCCAGCTGCTCTTACATTTGTGGCAGTGGCCCAAGATCTTCCATGGGACCATGTTGGGGGAGATGCGAGGTTACATTTGCTGTGACAATGGCCCCAGGAGCTGCCTCCTTCGCTCTCCGGCACACATACCCCAGAGGCCTGAGCACGACCCACCAATCCTCCCAGCCTGCCCTTGAACCTTCTCCCAGACACCTACTGTGTGTGGGCGTAGAGAGGCCCTGAAGAGGAGGACCTGTCCAGTGTGGCCAGGGGGGTGATGGGGGAGGGGGCAGGGTCTAGAGATGCCTGAGGAGAAGAGGGCTAACCTGAAACCCAAAGCTTGAGTATCAGTCAGCCAGGCAGAGGCTGTGGGGATGCTCCCGGCAAAGGACACAGAGCACGTGCAAAGGCCCAGGGGCGAGAAAACAGAACTAATTCAAACAACTGAAAAATATTCAGTTTCAGAAGCTGAGAGCTACAGAAAGTATCACTGAAGGATGGCGGTAGAGAGGTCAGCCTGGGTCGGGCCATTCCCGGGCTTGTGTTAGTTTCAATGTTATACTGAGGGTACTGGGGAGCCATGGCAGGTTTTAGGC